AATACCTGTGTTATCTTGGGCATGTCTCCAAACTTTTTTGGGCCCATTTCCTTAGCTATGAAATGTAAAAGTTGGACCAGGTGACCCCTAAGGCCCCTTCCAGCCTTAGGTCTATAAGTAATACCTTTGTATTGCATCCCATATGCATAGAATGCACTTCCTCTTTACCTCCACCTCATACAGTCCCTCTCTTTCTTTAAGGTGTAGCTTAAACATTTTTCTTTTTTAAAAAATATAATTTTTTTCCCCAATTACATGTAAAAGTTTTTCAGAATTTTTCAGTTCCAAATTCTCTCCCTTCCCTTCCCCCCCAATTGAGAAGGCAAGCAGTTTGATATAGGTTATTTATTTGCAGTCATACAAAACATATTTCCAAGTTAGTGAAAGAAAACAGACACAAAGAAAGTAAAGAAAATGTATGCTTTGATCTGCATTCAGACTCCATTAGTACTTTCTCTGGAGATGGATAGATTTTTCATCATAAGTTCTTCAGAATTGACTTGGATCATTGTATTGCTGAGAATAGCTAAATCATTCGCAATTTTTTTTTTCTACATGAAGTTTGTCTGGGTACTATCAACCGGTGGTCTTTCTTCATTCACAACCACATTGCATTTAATTTTCATATATATTTTTACATATGCTTTCCTCACCTATTAGAATGTAAGCTCCTTCCAAGTAAGAATTATTTTATATCCTCAGCATCTGGCACAGAGTGGCTACTGAATAAATATTTGCTGATTGATTGATTAATAGAAGACTAGAAAGATAAGAGGAACCAGATTGTAGAGGACATTAATGTCAGGCAGAGAATTTTGAACTTAGGAGACACAGGGCACTGAAGGTTTTGAGAGCAGAGTCAATGTGATTAGTAACTGTTCATAGTGAAGATTATTCTGGAAGCAATATGAAGGATGGATTGGATTGGAAAAAGATTGGAAGCAGGAAACCTATAAGGTGACTATTGTAATTGTTCACAAGCACACAAGAGTTATAAGCAGAGTAGCTACTTGGGAAAGGAGGGCTTGAAAGACTTAGTAGTAATTGAGCAGGAAGAGGAAAAGGATAGAATTCCAGGTATAAGGAACAGCATGAACAAAGAAAGACCCCAGGGAGAAAGCAGAGGGTGTCTTTAGGTGATTGCAAATAGTCAATTTTTGCTGGAGTGTTGAGAATGGAAACCAGTAGTAGGAGATATAATTGGAAAAGTTGGGTGAAAACCAGATTGTGGAGAGGACATTGAATGCCAAATTTTAGAGAATTTAAACCTTATGTGGTATTTAATAAGGAGGGTTTTAAGCAAAAAACCATGGCAAATAATAGACTTAAGCATTATAATTCTTGCACACAGGATGGTTCAGAGGTAGGAAACAGGAACCTGTATAATAGTAATGTCTTTTGTAATATAGTGAAAGCATTGAGATTGTAGTAGTAGAGAGATTAAAGTGGATGCAGGAAAAATTGTGGCAATAGAATCAATAGGGGATGGTAACTGGTAGGCCTTTGCCATTATCAAAGATAACACCAAGATTTTGAATATAAGGAAACTTAAGTAAATGATGGTGTCACTGATAGATACAATGAAGTGAGAAGAAACAGGGCAGTTGGGGGAAAATGAAAAAAAGTGGTTTCAGATATAGTAGAAATATAACTTGAACTTAGCTAAAATTATAAATGGCTAAAGACTTTACATGGGCAAGATTTAATACTGTACTCGATTTAAGAATAAAGTTAATGTTGCATTTAATTTTATATGTATGTATAATTATAATTGTTTACTGATAATGAGTACATTAGAGGCAACTCACAAGTGTAGTGTGTTTGGTTTGTTTTGTTTTGGTTTTTTGTTTTTTTTAGTGGACAAAGCAAGCATTTCTAAGATTGGTTAAAAGATCTCCAAAACTGTAACTCAGTAGATCCCAATTTTATCTCTTTTTTTGTCAAGAGATGTCTGATATAGGTGTTTTATTTAGGATGTTTTAAGCTTGTGGTTGATAGTTTTCTCCTAAGAAGTTGAGAGTCTGGGGGCAGCTAGGTGGTGCAGTGGATAGAGGACTGGCCCTGGATTCAGGAGGACCTGAGTTCAAATGTGGCCTCAGACACATAACACTTACTAGCTGTGTGACCCTGGGCAAGTCACTTAATCCCATTGCCTGGCCAAAAAAAATAAATAAATAAAAAATAAATAAGTTGAGAGTCATGACTGACGTGATGCTATGTAAATACTAGCTATTGTTATTAGTTTTGAAGGAGACCTGTCTGGATTGGCAGTGTTGGAATCGTTACCTTTTGTTGAGGAGCAAAGTCTAGCCCTGAGTTTGCATATAGGAAGCTAATGGGAAGGTTGAAACAGTGGGGAAAGGGTGGTCCCAGATTCCAGGGCCTGTATATTCTTAGTTATTAGTTATCCAGACTCTATTTGAAGGCCTACAGTGATAGAGAACTGTTATTTCTAAGGAGATTTCTATGGTATTTGATGATAGAGTAATCTTGCTTATGTAACAATAGTAGAGAAAATGTAGCTAGCTGAGGTCATTAACTCTGGGAGTTTGCTTCGTTATGTTCCATCCTCAGAGTTACAGATCGAAACTAGAGGAGGGCTAATTATGGACAGAGCAACTCTAGATCATTTCTTCCTAGAACATTCCTTAGTCAAACCTGGTGTTTGAGTCAGTAAATTCAAGGTGGTCCTGTAGCACTCAGCTCATAAAAGTAGATATTCAGTACATACTAATTAAAGGGAAATAAATATGCAAGATACATTGTTCTATCCAGAGGCCAATTTAGGCCTTGCCTAGGCTGAATTTTAGATTATGGGATGCATCAAGAAGGAACAGAGTTGGACAACCAAGTAAAGGACAGTATGAAGATACTTGGTACCTAAAGGATGTAGGAAAGAAAAATTCTAGAGCCTAGACAAATTTTGTTAGGCTGGCCCTTCTCTTCTCACCCTTAACCTTTTATTTCCATGTGGTCGTGCATCTTTCCCATCCCCAGCAAGAGGATTTATCATTTCATTCATTTTTAGTCCCTCATCTTGCAGTGTGACTCTTTTTGGACTCTTCATGATCCCCCTCACTGAAATGATTTGGGTTTAGGACAGAACCAGAGGCTAATCTTATCCCATTTTACCCATTTTATTTTCATGGACAGTTGTATCTAGATTTCCTTTCACACAGCAAGGATTTGTTGACTATTATATGGGAAATACAGAAATGTTAAGGCATGGTTACTAACTCAGAAGAGAAACTAAAGTATACAAGATAATTAGCATTCAATTCAGCTCATGATTAAATGAGCAGTAGATTTTAAACAGTATATCTGGCTTGCTAGTGGAGTTCAGAAGAGAGATTAGTTAGAGCTGAAGTGGTAATAGAACGCCTTGAAGGTAGAATTAAAATAGGTAGAGGGAAGGGCTTTAGCACATTTCAAGGAGGGAATCAACATGAACAAAGATACCTTATTGAAGCCAAAAATGTCATCCATAGTTTTATTTGACCTCCAGTTTAGCCAGTAGTCACATTTCTGACATCTGGATACTCAGTAGTCTATACACTGCCTTGAACTTGGAAGAACAATAAGTGTAAAGGCCTTTAGCAGAACGGAGAAAATTGTCATCAAAATAAATCCATGAGCTTTTAGTCCCAGAAAAGAGTTCCGGATACCATAGACCAAAATCATTTTATTGCCTTAGTTTTTCTGTATAATGGCTAGAGAGAATACCTCAAAATGGAGTTCCATCTACCAATGAAACCACAGGTCCAGACCAGAAGTATTTTGTATAACATAAGGTTTTTAAATCTTAGTTTTCCTCTGATAGCTATCAGTTTTTTTCTGGTTTATAGCTAATAGTAGATTTGGTTCCTGAAAATAGAACCAGGTAGAAACTAACTCAGAGTGACAGCAAGGGAGGGGCTAAAAGCTAGGAAAAACACAGCAGTCTGGAAACATGACCCTGTAGCACAGGGACAGACAGTCTTACACTTCTTAATAGTCATCACTGAATTATAGTGATAACTAAATAGATAATCTCAGATAATCTCAGTATTACAGTCCAATATGAATGTTCATGACAGTATCCTTGAACCATCAAGAAAACAATTCAAAGCTTCCTAATATACTCTGTTTACTAAGACAGGGAAGTATCTAACATACTTTAGAAAGTTTTCTGTTGAGACTTACATGAAAGAAGTGAGCAGAACCAGGAGAATATTGTACACAGTAACAGCAACATTGTACAGTGATCATCTATGATTGACTTAGCTCTTTCTCAGCATTACAATGATTCAAGGCAATTCCAAAAGACTCATGATGCTATCCACCATCCCGAGAAAGAACTGATGGAGTCTGAATGCAGATTGAAACATTGTTTTCATTTTATTTTTTCATGTTTTTTTCCTTTTGTTCTGTTTATTCATTTACAATGTGACTACATGGAAATATGTTTTACATGATTGTACATATATTATTGTCTTATATGGGGAGAAAATTTGGAACTCAAAATTTTATTAAAAAATGAATGTTTAAAATTGTCTTTACATGTAATTGGAAAAAATAAAATACTATTTAAAAGAAAAAAGTATCAAAATAGTAAAATTAGAATGTTGATATTTAAAGGTAAACCTTCATTTATCTAGAAAATTCACTCATCCTGGATAATTCATTGCTCATTAATGCAGATAATCAAAAATTATTCCTGAATTAAATTGTAGCAACATCAAAAATTCACAAATCGAAATCTTAATAAGCAGCCAAGTGGCCAAAGACAAGAAATATAAATGTTTGAAGAGCCTGAAAACTGTTTTTGTCATTTTTACGCAAGGGATGGTTTGAGTGGGGTGGGAGAGGGGAGGTAGTGTTTTCTGAAATTATTGTGATATAAAAATAGAAAATATAAATAAAAATTTAGCTTTTTTAGAAAATGTAGCCATGGAAGACAGAAAGAAAACCTTTCAGATGAAGGCAGAGTCTGAAGCATTTTTAAATATTTCATTTTATAGGTTTTGAGAAACCATCAGCTATCCAACAGCGTGCTATCAAACAAATTATTAAAGGAAGAGATGTCATTGCACAGTAAGTTAATTTATATGGTTAATAAAGAAATCAGAAACATTCTAGGAGGAAGAAATTGTTAACTTTTTGGCTTTGGGAAAAGTTTACTCAATTTTGATAAAATTTAAACCAGCTTTCTCTTTTTAATTTAACTGCAGATTTATTTTACTTTTGTAGTTGCTCTCCGGTAAAAGACTTTTTGGTCTTATATGTGATTATTTTGCCAATTCTGTTTTGTGTGGGTGGCTAAAAAGTACCTGTTTCCATGGTATCTGTTTTAGGAAAGTGACTCTCAGAAGTCTGAAATGATGAACTTGGGGAAGCAGTGACTAGGAATTTAAAATTGTTTTGTCCTTTGGAAAATATAACACTTATTTTCCAATATAGAATTATGTTATCATGGTCATTCCTTTTGGGTGTGGATTGAAATAAATGGTCACTGAGGTCCCTTCTAACCTTAAAATTCAGTGATTCTTTAACTATAGAAATCATTTAAAAGTGGGAATTTGAGATTGTATTTTTGGTTATTGGAATATCATTGAAATAATTGATTTTCTCATGCTCAAAAAACTCATTTTAAAGTTTTTATGCTTTTACAGGTCTCAGTCTGGTACAGGCAAAACAGCAACATTTAGCATTTCAGTTCTCCAGTGTTTGGATATTCAGGTAGATCATCACCTTTTAAATATATACTGTTATCTGCTAATGTGTACCAAAACATTTGCAGTCTTAGAAATTAAGTACTGTTTTTTTTCCTCAGTGAATTTACAATTTTCCAGTAAAAGAACAAGAAGCTTTTAAAAAAAAATTCTTCTTCTATTTTAGATCATTGGAATTAAAATGTTTATGATGTGGTATCTATTATTCTATATTTGTAAAATTTGTCTCCTTTGGAAATAAAATATAAATTCATATAGCTAAAGTCATATAGCTAAAATATTGACATCTGAGTTTTGATATTCTAGAACCTTTGCTAAAGGTACTGAGGGCTCTATGGTGTTTTCTAAGTTAAATTTTGTTTCAATAGGTGCGAGAAACTCAGGCTTTGATCTTAGCCCCTACCAGGGAATTGGCTGTACAGATTCAAAAGGTGAGAACACTGAGAAAAGTCAATAAATTAGCAATTATTGTTTTTGTAATTCTAATTAGAAATATAGCTGCAAGAGTGTTTATCTTCTGATTGCATTTTTCTTTCCTCTAAAAAAGAATGTGATCTTTTTCTGATTCCTGTTAGTTGCTATACATTATTACATATTTATTAATAGGTCTATAATTTTATATTACTAGTTTATAAAATGACTTGGTCTTTTTTTTTTCCCATTAAAAATGAAGATGGAAAAAGAAAAGTCAAATGGTGATTAAACTAAAAATATGTTATATTTGTCTTTAATTATGTGCACATACTTAGCATAACACCATGCTGTTTATAACTTTTCAAGCTGAATTTTAAAAAGCAAATGAGAATTTTGCTTTTTGTGGATGGCATTTACTGAATTGTCCACAATCTTTGAAATATCTTGGAGAATGAGATGCTGCTGGACTAGAGAAGGGCAAATAAATAGAACTTTCAAAATAGAGAAGAATGTAGTCTGCAAGCTATAGGCCAGTGTGTTTGACTTCAATTCCTGGAAAAATTCTAGGACTTATAATTAAAGCAATTGTTAGTGAATATGAAGGGTTTGTGCCAGACCAACCATTTCTTTTTTGACAGGTCTATTAGACTAGAGGGTGAGGGGGACTGTTATGCATTTAGTTTGCCTAAAATTTAGCAAAGCATTTGACAAAGTCTTCTGCTAATCTTATAGAAAAGATAGACAGATGTGATTTGAGCTTGTACAGCTATGTAAATTTGAACTGGTTGAATGCCTGCCTCCAAAGAATAGCAAATAATGATTTGTTGTTACCTTAGAAAGAAGTCTCTAGTGAAATGCCCCATGGATCTATTAATATTTTTAATTAATGACTTAGATAAAAGCATAGATAGCTTGCATATTAAACGTGTAGTTTAATGCCAGAGTAGAAGATATAGCTAATTATTAGATGACAGAGTCAAGATAATAAAAAGTCTCGACATTCTCCTCCAAATGTAATAAGATGAAATTTAATTGGGATAAGCATCTTACACGTGAGTTAAACAATTTCATAAATGCAAGGTGAAGGAGGTATGGTTAGATAACAGTTCTTCTGGGAAAAGATCTGGAGCTTTCATCGGACTGCAGAATCAAATTGATAAGCAAAAAATAATTGTAAAAATAAAAAATAAAGGCTATTGTAATTGTAGGCTGCATCAAGAGTGATATGGAGTCTAGGACTAGGAGGGCTACTCTTCTCTCTCCGGTCAAACAACATCTGGAGTATTTTCATTTCTAGGTGTTATATTTTAGGAAGCACATTAATAAAGAGAATGTCTGGAGGCCACTGACCAGGGCCGTGAAATCATCATATTTAGTCCAACCATCTCATTTTACAGGTGAGGAAATAGAGGCCCAGAGACATTAAGTAACTTGCCCAAGGCCACACAAATAGGACGTGTAGGTAGTAAGCAAGAAAGCAAGGATTTGACTGCAGGCCTGCTGTCTTCAAATGCTATGTGAAGATGGGTTAAAGGAAATTACCTGGGGATGGGGAAGGAGTAGCAATAGTTGTCTTAAAGTATTTGAAAAGTTGTCATATGAAAAGAGGATTAGGTTTATTCTGTTGTCCCCAGAGGACAGAAGTAGGTGCAGTGGGTAGAAGTTTTAAAGTAGTGGGTTTAGGTTTGATGTAAGGGAAAAACCTTCCTAACTATTAGGACTACCCAAAAATATAATGAGATTTCTGCTGAGGCAGTGGATTTCTTCTTACTCGAAGTCTCCAAAGGTAGGATAACCTCTTACTGGATACGTTGTAGAGTTGATTCTTGTTTAGGTATGGCGTTGGACTAGGTGGCCTATGAGATTCTGTAATGATGGCTGTATCATAAAGATTAAACAGCCGTCATTGTACAGGCACTCAGCTAGCATTTATTATAGTGCGTACTATGTGCCAGGTACTGTGCTAAGTGTTTGAGATACAAAGAAAGGCAAAAAAAAAAAGGTCTCTGCTCTCAAGGAGCTCACAGTCTAATAAGGGAATAATTTCAAGGCAGTGTGGTACACTGGAAAGACTGCTGAATTTGAAGTCATGGGATTTGAGTTTAAATTTTGACTCTGCTACTGTATGATCTTGGACAAGTCTCCTAATATCTCTGGGCCTCAATTTCCTCTTTGGTAAAATGAAAGAATTGGACTAAATGATTTCTAAGGTGCCTTCCAGTTCTGCTATTATTCTTCTAGAAAAGGAACAATCTATTTTTAAATTCAGCAAACTTAAAAGTCTGCTTTTGTAGAGATTGTTTAGGAATATAAAGCAATAAATTAAATTTTTTCCCCTTGTATTCAGGGTCTTCTTGCTCTTGGTGATTACATGAATGTCCAATGTCATGCCTGTATTGGGGGGACCAATGTTGGTGAAGATATCAGGAAATTGGATTATGGGCAGCATGTTGTTGCTGGTACACCAGGTCGTGTCTTTGGTAAGCATGTTGCACCATGCCAACTTTGTTTCATGTTATGTTTTGTTTTTTAAATCTTCTCTTGATCCCTACCATCCATTCAACTGTCATCGTATTTTGTCCTTCCTGTCACAGCCAAACTACTAGAAAAAAACCTTCTACTTTTGTTGCCTCTATTCCTTTTCTTTTCAGTCATATCACAACCTTTGAAAACTCTTGACTTCCCAACGCATCAGAAAACAAGCTGCTTTCTCTAAAGTTATCAATGATCTATTTTAAAAATAATTTAATAATATTTTGGTTTTATATATTGTTCATTCTACCAGATTTTTTTCTCCCTTCCATTTACATTTTTTTTGTAATCATTATGGGTGATTTCCTTTTTCTGCTTACTTTATGTCATTTCATATTTTCCTATGTTTTTTCTAAATTATTTGTTGTTTTAAATTACAGTGCAAAATTTTGATAAATCATTGTAAAAAAAAATTCACAGTTTGTTTGAATTCCAGTCAATGGGCATCTACTTTGTTTCAAGTGCTGTTAACACAAAGTGGTAATAAAAATATTTTGAGATATATATATATAATATAAAGCCTTTCTGTCTTTGACCTCTTTGGGATATATGCCTAGCCGTGGGATCTCAGATGGACATTTTAGTCACTTCTAGCACAATTTCAGATTGCTTTCTAGAAGACTTGGCTCAAATTACTGCTCCACTAAGAATATATTAGTGTGCCTGTCTTTCCACAGCCCCTCTAACATTGACTATTCCTGTTTTTTGTCATCTTGGCCAATTTGCCTGATGTGAGTTAAAGGCTCAATTGTTTTGATTTACATTTACATTTGCATTCATAGAGTTATTAATAGCTTAAAATTCTTATTTTAGAAACTGTTCATATTCCTTGACCCTAGAGAAAATTAAATAAGATAGGCAGAGAATGTGGTGGTGGTTTTATTCTGTTGTGATGGTCTTAGATGAAGAAGGAAATGGAAAGGATAGGGGACTAGAATGTGGAGCTAAGGAGTGGAAGTCAAGGGAACTCACTACACAGAGATACATATGTATACACACACACACACACACACACACACACACACACACACACACACACA